ACATGAACAATATTCACAATGTCAAACAATCGTTCAATTATTTGCACCTCATATGAGAAAACTAGAACTTGATCTTACGAATAATTTTTGTCAACAATTAACCATTTGTCAAACATCAACAGATGATTTGAATGCAGATAAACCATCAATAATCCATGTACCATTGAAAAACGATGAATTAACTGAAGACGATGACGAATTGAAACGCACGATTGTTAAAAATTTAGATGTTACTCCAGAATGCACCTTATGCCATTATGTTGTTTCATATTTGGATGCTATTTTAAAGAATAATAAATCTGAAGCAGCAGTTGAAGCTGCATTAGAAAAAGTTTGTACTATTTTGCCAAGTGAGTTTCAGTAACTAAATAAAATGGGCTGTATAAGTTATCTGTTTTTTTTTTCTTCAGCTAAAGAACGTGCTCAATGTGATGAATTTGTTAAAACTTATGGACCAGTTCTTGCAGAGTTGATTGCTGAAATGGCTGATCCAGATACAATTTGTCGTTATCTTGGTATGTGTCAAGTTTCATTACCAATAAAAACAACAACAGAAAAACCAGCACCTGTCACCTATTCAAATCATGATTATGTCCATTTATCAACAGAAGAAAAGCCATTTACGTGCACTATTTGTAAATTTATTATCAGTCGTATGAAACATTTCGTTACTCTCAATCAAACTGAAAAAGAAATTCTTGCATCACTGAAAGAATCATGTGATTTATTTTCTGTTATTAATCTTCAACAACAATGTAAAGATTTTCTTGATCAATATGGACCATATATTATTCAAATGATCTCCAGTGATGTTGAACCTAAAGTCGCTTGTCAAAGTATTGGAGCATGTGAGAAGAATGTTGAAACATCTTCACCAGCAAATCATCATCAATCCACTGCTTCAGCCCCTGTGGCATCATCAACAACTTATGGAAAATGTATATTTGGTATGAGCTATTGGTGTACAAGTCGTCAAAATGCTGTATTATGCAATGTAAATAAAATAGTTTATTCTGAGCAGAATATTTATTGTTTTTTTTTTGTTTAAGGCTGTCGAATTGTGTGAACGTCAAGTTTGGTCGAAAAAAAATAAGAATATCGTCATTTGATTCAAAACAAAATAGACTTATATTTCTTCATGAACTTACTCATTAGCTTTTCCTATTGCGAGAAAAAACTTTTTCCTTTTTTTTTCTGTCTCTTCTTTTGAATTTACCAACAAGGATGAACGTTTTTTCATATGACACTGACTTTCTTTATTATTATTATTTGTATTTAGTGTTATCCTTTTCTGTTCATTCAAAGTATTGATTAAATCGAGCATCTGCTTATTCCAGCATGTTTTAAACATGAAAGCATTTAAGTTTTTTTTCTATTCTCATTCCATTCATCCTTCAATCCTTCTTTTATTTCTTTGTTCTTTCTATATATACATGATTATGTGACTCGGCGTGATCTGTTTCTCTTGTACTTTGGTTATTCACTTATTCTCTTCAATAAACTTGATTTTAAGAAACTCTAGACTCTTGATTATAGTTGTTTTCAAATGAAAAACATCGAACAATAAAAATTACTTATGTATCTGGAAAAAATAATCATGAGCGAATATTTTGTTCGAAAGTGAATCTTATCAATAATATTCAATCTTCTCATAGTCGCTTACGGCCATACCACGTTGAATACACCAGTTCTCGTCCGATCACTGAAGTTAAGCAACGTCGGGCTCGGTTAGTACTTGGATGGGTGACCGCCTGGGAATACCGAGTGTCGTAAGCTTTTTTTTGTTGTTGAATGCACATTGTGTACATTATGCAGTTGCAAGAAATCTTCCTAAGGAACATAAAAGACAACGGTGGTTTCTTTGTTTGTTGTAATTATCTTCAATTTTATTTGAATGTATTTTTCAAGAAATAGAGGATAATGCATCAAGTATCTATATAATCTCGAAGAACGATATGAAATAAAATGAAATCATTCACAAAATTTAGTATTGCCTCATACACTTAGGCCACTTTTAGTCTGTTGCTTATCACAATGTATGAATGATTATTTGAATGAGTTAAATATTATTTTACGATAATCACAAGAAATAAATGTGGGGACATGCAGTAAAACGTAGCAAAATGTATGAAGAAGTATGTACTGAATTTATCGTTGTTACAATTTTTTTTTGTAGATAAATCTGAGAATAATGTAGGTGAGTATCGAGTCTCACAACCTTATTCGGGAAGACGCGTGAACACTTCAAGGTGAATTTTATCTAATAAAGTTCTCGAATTGGCATTCAACTGCATTGGATTCGGTCGCGTGCGCGTTCGACAACTTAAACTCGTGCAGAACTCTAAATGGGTGCTGTTAGCTTTGTTAAAGCAATTTATTAATGATTAGAAGCTTTGATTTTTGTTCAAGAAAAATCATACATGAATTTACAAATTAAAACATTTTTTTCAATTTGAAACAAATGATCATTATCAATCCAATCAGTCCCATAATTGCAAGTTGTCCAAAATATCCATAATGCATAGGAATCTGTGGCATATGTTCAAAGTTCATCGAACTTAGACTTGAAAAAAAATTTAAAGGCATAAAAATACATGACATCATTGTTAATGTTTGCATCGTATCATTAATCAAATCTCCATTAAGAACCATGTAAAAATCAATCAATGATGTAATATTATCTGAATGAGAATCAATTGTATCATTCAGTTCAACAGCATGATCAAGAAGACGTTTAAAGTATTTATAAATATAATCATTAAGTACTAAAACACCATCTTCTAGTATGTATTCATCATCTTCATCACCGATGGAAGTTGTTAATGGAGAACTATGTGAAGAATGTTGAGCCAGAGTTTGACGTAATCGTCGTTTCAATCGACGACGGCATTGACGTAATGCTGGTCGTTGTCGTTTTGGTACCACTGTCTCACGAGTTTTTTGTAGTTTAATAAATATATCTTTTAATGGTGCGCATACAATTTTGAAATGAAGTAAATCGTGTTTTATGTAAAATAGTAATCTTAATGTTTCAACACTAAGTGTATGTGCTTTTATCTTTGTTGAAAACATCAATTCTTTATCAATACGCTCAGTTTCATACAAAATTGAATCTAATACAATCATATAATTTTCCATGACAACATTAAGTAAACAATAAAATAAATAATCTGTTTTCATTGTTTTAAGACGACCTTTTAATTTTGTTGATTTGTTACTTAAACGATATTTAATTGTTGAAAATAATGTGTGTGTACGGTATGCTTGTATAGTAATAAGTGTATTTTCTGTTAGATAAAAACCAATTTTTTGTTGTTCAACAATGTGATTTGCTTCATTTAAATAGATCACACTAAGTAAAAGATAAATATCTTCATTAATAATAGATATTTTCATTCGTTGTTCACGTGTTCGAATATCATCAATAACAAATGTATTTGCATCAAAATACTCAAGTACAGCACGAATAAGACCTACATTAGTACTATTTATTTCAACCCACATATTTTTTCCTTCGGACAGCTGTTTAAGATTATGTGAAAATTCGTTAACATGATTATGTCTAAACTCCATATATGTCGATTCATCATACCTTAAATAAATAATATTTCTTTTTAAAAAATGAAATTTATGAAGTATGTTCAATACAACAATATTCGCTTACGGCCATACCACGTTGAATACACCAGTTCTCGTCCGATCACTGAAGTTAAGCAACGTCGGGCTCGGTTAGTACTTGGATGGGTGACCGCCTGGGAATACCGAGTGTCGTAAGCTTTTTAATGCCTACTTTTTTTTGTTTAAGAACGGATCTCTATGATATCATGATTCAAATCTTCCTCAAATATTTATTGATAGCTTTTATAACATTGATGTTTTATATCTTTCGAAGGTTAATTTAAGATTAAATGTTTTATTGCTTCAGAAAGATTAGTAAGAGAAAAAGAAGATCAATATAAATATAATTTCCCTCCTATGCCTAAACTGATTTTCTTTGTGTCTCATTGGATGACTAATTCTCATAAAAAACAAAACATAAAATATATTTCTTACAGATAAATATGAATTGAATATGATGATTCGCTAAAACTTGCCGTAAGTTGAAAGAAGCTGGTATCCGATCCGTGTGGCATAGTTCAAATAATGATCTTTTCATTACTTAAATAAAAAATCTCTCATGTACATGGCTGACATTTCTTCCATATTTCGGTACAATAGAATAGATCAAATATTTCTTTTGTTCCAGTTGGTTGATAGTTTATTTTATTATTATTGTTTTTTTTTCATCACTAAAATAAGATTAGAAGGAGAAGAAGAACATCAATAACAGTAGTAATAGTGAACTTTCTTCCTACTAGAACATATCAGAAGAGCACCAATCTATGCGATTAGAAGAACACAAACAAAGAAAAAGAAAATAATGCCAAGCACATGAAACATCGTCATACAGTTGCACTTTGACAAGAAGATGATATTATATATACACGCACACACAAACAAATATTTGTAGGTAATAAGTACTAATTAAACTAAAACATCTGTATATCAAACAGTTAGAAGAACATATTATCAAAAGAAAAGAGATAAAATATCTCTTAATGGACGAGAAAAAAGTCATGTGTTTTATTTATCTCCATTTTTGATACAAATCTGGCTCGAAAAAAAGAGAAAGAAACACTGTTTGCTCGATATGAATGACTGCTTATAAAGGTCGCACGTATGTAGCAGGAAAAAGACCAACATTACCACGAACTTCACCTAAATAACATAATAAGAATTCATACATAAAAGTAAATGAAAACATTTTAATATAACCTTTCCACCAATTAACATCACTTTGGTCTATCATACGAATACGATCACCACGTTTTAATTCTATTTCACCTTCTTCTTGCGGTTGAAAATCATAAGCAGCTACATAAGTTTGACCATGTGTTGATGACGCAACAGGTGACATTGGTTGCTGTTGTACTTGAGGCTTCTGTCCTGTCCACTGATTCTGTTGTTGTTGATTCTTATTATTCTATAAAATGAAATCAATTTTCATTTTTTTTTTTTATTTATATTATTTTATTTTGTTACATGTGATGGCATTTGTTCTGATTGTGTTGATGAAATCATATCTTTAAGTAATAAGTTTTGTCCACGATTAACTGATGTTGTACGATGATATTCAATTAATTCATTAATTGAATCAAATTTAATAGCCCATAAAAAATATTTACCCATACCATCACGTAAAACTTTAAAATGTTGAACTTGATCTTGATATCTATATCATCATAACATTTATTATACACACACACATATATATATATATATTTATAAAGAAATATTTAAATTATATACTTGACAGATAGTGAAAAATCTCCAGGAGTTGTTTCACACATGCGTACAATGAAGGCACCATCAGGTTGACTCATTCGACGAGCATTAGCATCCTTTGGAAGAAGAATTTTTTCAGCTTCAACACGAGAAATTTTACCATAAAACCAACTTAAAAAAAAGAAAATATGAAATTCAACTATAATCTAATTCATAGCTTATGAAACTGATTTATTCATAAAATGAACGATTATGATTATAAAATCATAATTACTTTTTAAAGTTACCGAATATATTAAAGCATAACATAGAATACAAAAAGATCGAAAGCTTTTTTTTTTGCAAAAATATCATTTATTTGATTTTTCATTCAACTAAATTCTAAATTTCTTAATATTGTATGTATAAAAATTTACTTACGGAGTAGGAACCATTTCAATATAGTTTTTTGGTATATATCCTTCTTGTCCTTTAAATTCTGCTTTATACCAATTCATATCTTCATCAGTATTGAGTATCTATTAAATAAGAAATACATTTAAAAAAAAATCGAAAACTTCAATAATAATATTATACTTTAAGCACAGCTCCTTTTTGAAAACTAAGTTCATCATCGGCCGTTGCATTAAAATCATAACGACCAAAAGCTTGCATATTGTTATTTGTTTCTCCGGTGACAATATTCAACAGAACATACAAAAATAAGGCAAATATCTTGAAATGAATAAAAAGAAAAGGAAAAGATAAGCTAAAACCAAATGAAAGAAAAAAGGTTTTTTTTTTTTTTTTTATTGTTAAATTATTCTTGTTTATCAAAATATTCTTTCGATTTCACTGGATCAGGTTTTATTGTATTTGGATTTGTTTTTTCATTCCAATCAGCAGGACATACTTCACCATATTGCTCAACATATTGAAATGCTTTTATAAGACGAAGAGTTTCATCAACAGATCGACCGACAGGTAAATCATTTATTGTTATTTGTCTTAATATTTGTTGTTTATCAATTATAAATAAACCACGTAATGCAATACCACCATTATCATCAACTAAAATGCCATAACGTTTCGTTATCTCTTTTGAAAAATCACTTAATAATGGATATCTAAGACCGCCAAGACCTCCTTGCCTTCTTGGTGTATTTATCCAAGCTAAAAATTAAAATAATATAATTTTGTATAAAATTTCAGTTTTTGCTTTGTTAAAGTTACCAAGATGACTATGTACTGAATCAGTACTACAACCAATAACTTGTGTATTAAGTTGATGAAAGTCATCTATACGTTCATTAAACGCAACAATTTCAGTTGGACAAACAAATGTAAAATCTAATGGATAGAAAAATAATACCACATATTTTCCTCTATAATCCGATAATTGAATATCTTTAAAATGTCCTTTAATAACCGCTGGACCTTTAAAATCAGGTGCTGGTTTTGATATAGCCGGAAATGGATGATGACATATTGTCATACCTGCTACATGTTGAAATGGACTAGTTATTTTTGTTTTTATTGCTGATGAAGTAAGATGACGTAGTAGATGACGATACATAGTAATTTGTTTTGTTTTTTTTTTGTCTTATCTCAATCTAGCAATAAGCAAAAAATGCGATTGTTTAAAACAAAAATTGAACTTCAATTGAATATTAAACGCTTGAATGAATTGATCATCTTATGTAAAATGAAACTCATTGAAGAAAAAAAAAACAGCTATAAAAAGATTCATTCGCTTTTGACACATACAATAAATGAATATAACGTTCTTGTTTTTTCTTATACGAGGATTTATTTGATATAGAGGTCATCTCAAAGATTTTAATTGGACAAAAGAATTTCATATTGTTTATTTGTATTTGTTAGATTGAATCTTCTCTTTTTTTCGGAGTATAAAGTTGATCAGAACAAAAAGAAGATGAGATATTTGATATTATATTGTTCATTTATTATACTTACTTTTTATGTTTTATCAGGTAGCTAATAGAAGATTTCGATAAATTAATTTGTTTATCATTATTGTTTAGTTGTATCAATAAAATGTTATGTTTGTAAAGAACCGGATAGAAAATGTCGTGATCCATTTCAAAATGATACTATTTTTTTGAAAGATTGTTCACAAATTGGTATGGGTAATGCTACAATGTGTCGTAAATATATGTGGGAAAGTAAGAAACAAACGAAAAAAAAAACGATACCAATAACATAATATTATTTTGATTTGATATGTTCTATTCTTTTAAGTTGGTGATGGTACACGATATTATATGCGTGGATGCGCTGTACGTGGTCGTGTAAGTCGAAAACAAGGTCGTGATTGTATTGAACGTCTTGGTATGTATTTAAATAGTAGATGTCAGAATATTGCATTGATTTCGATGATATAATGATATGTTATAAAAAAAAAAAGAAATAAATACTAGAATGTTTCACGAAGCATATGAGAAAGAAGAAAAGGCGAACGAAAATTTTGATAATAATTGAAAAATATTCTAAACATTGTAAAGAATTGATTTGAAATGTAAATATATACTCATACTTATCAGTATGCATATTCAGATTATTTCATAAAAGTTTTTGTTTGATATATAATGATTATGAAAATTATTTAATAAAATTTATTTTCAATTTTGTTCGTTGAATTTCGCACTAAAATAAATCTAAATAGTGATTCAAGTAGAGAAAATTATTTTTTAACAAGAATGTATAGAATTTTCTACAAAGTATGACGTCTTCGAAGTCTCTAAGACATTTTTGCGATGAGATATATTACTCTATAATTATAATCATTCTAAAATAAATTATATTTACGCTTTTTAAGTACTGAAAAACTAAGATTTTGGTTGTTTGAAGATCCTATCGTTGAGAATAATTTTTATTTTCTTATACATTAGTCAGAAACATTTTTTTTTCTATTTGAATTCTTTTTTAATACACAGATTAGTGGAAAAAAAACTGAAAATAAATCTTGTTGAATAATTTGACACTCACTATGTAGCTGTTAAGAGATGAAAAAGAATAATGAACTAAGATTTTATTATTGATCTTTGTCATTTATGTTTTTATTTAGGTACGTGGAAAACAAAAATGTGGTATTGTCAATGTGATAATAAAGATGGATGTAATGGAAGTACAAACAAACAACTATCATTTTTCACAATTCTATTTGGTATTATTATTTTCTATTTGCAATCGACACAGAATATTCAATAGCAGAATTTTTTTTTCCAAATATTGTATTTATGTATAAAGTAGTCAATTTTGCCACTATTAAACATTCCATTCAATTTTTTTGAATGTCTTTCTTTTATACTATGAATTTTATATTATTAATACTTAGTTATATCTCACGACTGTTTTTTGTTTTTGTGTTCATTTGTCAAAAATGTTTTATTAGAATGATGTAGAACTTTTTTCTTCTTCTTTTTGTACATTCCTAATATGTTTGTTTATTGATTTGACTTATCTATCTGTGCAAATATGCGTGCTATCATTGTTTTTTTTATTAATGATAGAACTTCATTTTATAATCAAATAATTTTATTCTGAAATCAGTAAATATCATCGATTATTCAAATAAATGATCTGATTTTAGTTTTAGTGATTTTTTTTTAATCGATTCATGTTGTTGGTTGATAATTATAGTTTAATCAACTATTACATGTTTCTATTGAACACAAAATCAAAAACTCCAAATTTTCCATCACTTTGATATTTTCCTTAAATTTTAAAGATTATGAAATAGTTCTAAATGTAATAAAATATTATCTGACTATTATCAAAAGAATAAATAATTGAGGAATACTAGGATTTATTTAAACCACTGGACTTATATATTAATAATAAATATTAAATTTTAATTCTTTCAAAAAAAGAGCCATACATCTGAGTAGACAATCTTCATTTTTAGGTAGATACTTACCTTCAATCTAGTTTCTTTCATATGTTGATAACATGTGTAACGAGATTTATAGAAAAATCTCAATAATTCTCGAAAAAAAAAATTAATTCCTGAAGCCGCTAGACTAATTCAGTCGATAGTGCTCATTTACTTCATTGAAATTCTTTGAAAATAATTATGTTTTTTTTTAATTACTTTTCGTTTAGTTTAACAATTTAAGCAAATTCAAATAATTTAAAAAAAAAATCATTTCTATGCGCTTCTAATGGCTGTCAAATTGCGACCTCTGTAACAACAAACATACTCATTTGATCTGTTCTATTAACTAATAAAAGACACAATAACTTCGTGCGAACAAATATATTTCATAAGGATCATTGTGAGTCGTTCTAATAGTTGACACGTCATCGTAAACAAATTTATCTTATCCTATTATTATAGATGGAACCGTGGTATTCAGGTGCCGTTGTAGATGCTGTACGTGAAGCTAAATCACGTCGAGCTCTATTCATTGTTTATGTTCATGATACTTCCGAACAATCTCAAACAATGGATATACTATGGTCGGATGTATGGACAAAATTAAATAATCTATCAAAAATAGTTGCACTTCGTCTTGTTAAAGATACTGAAGCATGTCAACAATTTCAAGTTATTTATAAAATTCAAACATATCCAACAATTTATTTCATTAATGGTCAAAATGGACAAGTTTTAAAAATGATTGATCAGCCAATTGAAAACTCTAATAAATTAGAAGAAATAATTCATGATTCAATGAATATAATCGAACCAAAACAAGAAACGACAACAACAACAGCAACGGTCCAACCAACAAAAACTGTTGAAGAAAAAGTAATTAAATTTCATTTAAAAAAAAAAACAAAAACTTTAGTTTAATTATTAATAGGTAGCAGAGGCTCGTGCACGTCTTAAAATACTTCAAGATAAACGTGAGGAAGAAGCAAAAGAAAAAGACAAACAAGATGAATTAGAACGTCGTCGTCTTGGACAACAAATCTTATTAGATAAACAAAAAAAAGATGAAGAATTAATACGTAAACAAGCTGAAGATATACGTCGTGATAAACTAGAACAACAAAAATTACAAGAAAAACTTAAAGCACAAATACAAGAAGATCGAGAAGAAAAACGTCGAAAATATGAAGAACAACAAGCTCCAATTATTCAACAAGCTAAACCAAAAGTAACAACAACAGAAGTCGAAACACCAAAAATTAATTATTCACGTTCACGTTTACAATTCCGTTTAACTGATGGATCATTTTTTACTGAAGATTTTTCACCAGATGCTCATATAAACGATGTTTATGCATATTTACAAGAAACATTACCAACTGATCAATATAGAAATGGTTCATATATACTTCGAACAACACATACACGTGTTACATTAACAAGAGATAATCCAAATACATTAAAAGAACTTGAACTTGTTCCAACAGCTGTTTTACTTGTTCTTAATCGTGGTAATGTTCTATTACCATCAACTAATTTAAATACAAGTAATTTTTTTCAAACAATTCAATTTATTTTTACATGGTTTATGATGCAATTTAATTTTATTTATCAATTTATTTTTGCAAAATTATTTGGAAATCGTACTCCAACATCATCAACACAACAGATAAGATCAAATACGACAATAAATAATACTAATGAACAAAAGCAAAAAACAACAACAAAAACAAAAACAAAGGAAAATTTTAAAATAGATTCAACAGAAAAAACAACTATTCGTCGTTTTCATAATACACAAGATGATAGTGATGATGAAGAAAAACGTACATGGAATGGAAATTCAACACAACAAATGTAACTTTTTTATTTTCTTCTCTTTATATAATAAATATATTCAGAAATACAATTAATTTTTTTTTCAAATTATATTTCATAGTTAGTCTTTCATTGGATCTTTGTTTCTATTCAAGATAAAATTTACATGAAACTATTTAGAAAACGAAATTTCGATAATGTCAGTTAAGAAAGATTTTTCAATGACTAAGCTTTAGGGATTCATATTCGATTTTCTCGAGACTTCTATGATTGTTAAAATGAAGAATAACATGTATATATATCTATTGATATTTTTCGCTTTCAATTCTCTAAACAATAAAGCAATAGAGTGAAGATTACAGAGATGAGCAATTTGTCTATGTCAGTTTGTATGTCATACTTATCATTGGTAGAAAATTTTAAAAGAAAGAAAGGAATACCCAAGATTAATCAATTCTACTCTATCTATCATGATTATAACAATTTTTGATTCACATTTAAAATTTTTCTTTCAATTTTCATTATCAATAAATTTGTTACTATGTGATTCGTGTATGATCAATTGTTACAGAAATATAATGTTAAAATTTTCAATAGGTATCACAAAAAGATAACTTAACTTAGATTAATAGTGTCGTTTCTTTTGAATGAAAACTTGGGAAAATTATACTCTTGACTTACTCAGATCTGGGCTACCAATGTGTTAGTATAAAACTGAGTCCAAAAAAATTCATCATTTCACCTGTTACGAATAATGAAAATGTAAGCAAACTGATTAATAAAGCCCATACATTTCTCATTCTAATATATTGCTAGTAAATGAATATCTACTTTTAGTCTTAGCTACTCTTTTAACCAAGAAGATATGTATTTTATTGATTTTTTGAAAAATATATTTATAAAAAAAAAGAAAAAAACATTTCAACAGTATTAGATTATTTGACAAAAATTACAACTACTCGGTATAAGTCGACCATTAATTTTGTTTTTAGTTCTTTTTTCAGAACTTTTAGTTTCGAGAATTTTTTGTTGTTCATCGACAAGATTTTGTAAACGAGCTAATTCGATAAGTGATAAACTTTGATTTGTTCGTCGAAGAGAATCTTCTTGAAGTAATTTTAAAATTTGTTGTGATTCACCATTTGTTAAATATTTATTTAAATTGATTAAACTTGAACCATTATAATCCGATAAAAGACGAGACATTTGTATAAGATTATGTCCAATTAACCAATGTTGAATATCAGTCGGAGTCCATTCTAAAATATTATCTGAAAGTATAGGTAATATTGATCTTGATTGATGTATTGATGAATTAGAAGTTAAAATATTTCTTTCATCTCTAGATTCGATTTGTTGAAGATTATCATCTTGTAAAACAGGAGCTTTTATTTCTTTGATTAACATTTTCATAGCTTCTGAAAATTCATATTTAGTAAAATCAACATAAAGTAATTGACCAACAAGAAATAATAACCAACCATCGGGTTGATAATGTTCTTGTAAAAGTATTGGAATAATTCTAGTTCGACGTCGAAATGCATAATTTGCTTCTGCTCGACAATAATTACTTCTTCGATATTGTTCACTCATACAAATTAGAATTATATTTGATTTTTCAATGGCTTGTGCCATTGCATCCATAACATTACCATGTATTTGATCAAAATCAATCCATACACGATAACCAATTTTAATAAGTTCATCATATAATTGTTTACAGAACAATTTATCTTTATGTGAATAACTAATCATGATATCAAACATTGTTTCATCATTTTTTTCTGTTAATTCACGATCTTCATACATAGATTTTAAATTCCATAGTATTCCATATGTTATTTTTCCCATTGGTTCTTGATGTAATTCTTGTTTTAAATGAGTTAATCTAAGCATTAACTTTTGATTAGATCGAAGTTGTTGTTGAATATCATGATTGAATGAAAGTGCCCATAGAATATCATATACTATTGGATATTGATCACACATTTCAATTAAAAATAACACTTTCTTTGTGTCAGCAACCTTTTGTTGTATTGCATCATTTTTTGCTAGACTTAAAAAACCTAATAAATATGAAAGAAAAATCAAAAATTCCTATTTTTTCTTTTTTTTAAAAAAAAAAAATTAATTTACCTCGAAGTAATTGTGATATTAATACCCGTTGAGATTTTTGTTTTGGATGATTCCAAGCTTGTTCAAGCATATAAAAGAAATATTCACACAGATTATCAGTTATTTTGACTTGTTTTAAATGTTCATCACATACAATTTCTCCTAATAAACCATATGCAGATAGACTAATTCGACCATATACGGATGTTTCAGCTAATGGTAAAAGTATTTCTAATAAATTTGTTTCAAAACGTATAAAAGAAATTGAATCATACGTATGTAATATAGCTAATAAAAAACTTAAAATATTATCAATGAGAATTGTTTCATCATTAAATCGTTGAGTTTGAATTTTCTGATGCAATGGTTTATAACCAATTATATGTATTAATGATTGTATATGTTCATGAGATATTTCTTCGGATGGTAAAAGTATTGCAATGTATTTAGCTTTATCACCATCCCAACAACAATATACATTGACTAAACTCATTATATATGTAATACAACCAAGTAATTCTTTACTCCATAATTGAACACTAAAACTATGAATATAAATTATATTTAAATAATCTTTTGCAAAATAACGAAGAATTTCATCACCAGTATAAGGAAAATTTTGATTTTTACAAAAACAATAAGAACTTATTGATAACGAACATGTTTTCATATAGAATAATTGTTTATAAGTAAATATTGATTGTGATATTTGTGATGTTTGCAATTGAGTTAAATAAAATTTATATTGATCAGTCATCATAAATTTACATGCAATAGAATAATTGATGTCAGTAATGATTGGTACCAGTGCAAATTGTGTATGTTCATGAATGAAATATGAAAGATTATCAAACCAAAGACTAATTATAATAAAGTATGGATCATGTTCATCAGTACTTTTTTGAATTTGTTCAAATATACCATTAATCAAATCTGTTGTTTCAGGAAAAAGAAGAGAAACTTTTTTATCTGGATCCATTGTATCCAAAGTAAAAATTAAGTTTTTATTAAATGAAGCAAGATTATGAAATAATTTTAAATATTTGAATTGATTTATCCATTGATATGTATTTTCACTAAGCATTTTCCAAGCCCAATGTTCGAGTTTAAATAAAAAATCAAAATTTTCAGAAATAAATTTTAATAAGAATTGAACATCTAATTCTTGAAGAAGATTTGATATTTTAGAAAGAATATCATCGGATAAAGTTGTTGTTGTCAGTGCAGCAAACAAGTCTTCTATATTTTCTTCCATTTCTATTGACTAAAATGTAGTATTGTAAATAACGAATGCTTTTGATGGACATATCTCTCCACAAGCCTATCCATCAGTAATAGATGTGTTCTTTCTTTTTCTGTTGATTATGATAAAAACTACTTAGATTGTACCTAATAATTATGTACTAGAATATATGTGGCATACTTTTGTTTTGTTAATAAGCATAAATTATTGCTAATATATCTTGTATAGAAAGGTCCATAAATAATCGAAAATGATGAGAAGCGATTTCCATGAGGATAATAGTTCACGATAAATTATTAAATCAAGACATATGATTATAAACGACATCCATTACGACCGTCGTTTATTCGATGGTTTTATATTGAATTAAAGAAATATCTCAAAACCATGTTTAGACAATATTAGATGATTCTTAATGGGTAAATCTTGATGATATCATTTGTCATTGCTTAAATGTATCATACTCGATCTTTTCGTTGAATTTTTTTGCTGACATACAAAGACAAGTTTCCTCTTTATGTCCTTTAACCTTGAGTTTTTGTCAACCTAAAGTTTTGATTGATTGCTTTGAATTCTTTCTAACAGCAATCAATAGATTTTATTGAGACTTATTCCATGAAATAACGTGCATCCTTTCAAAAAAAAGTCTTTATATCATGCTGCACGATAATCATCATAAATTCGATAATTGAGTTACTCAGTAGAAGTGTTATTTTGTTTTCATATATGCTTTGTCCATCACTTTTCATCATAGGTAATTATGACAAAGAAGAGCAATGTTCTTTTGTATTTCAAACAATAAATGTGCAATATATTCGAATTCTAATCCTAATCTTAATTGTCTTGTATGTAAACAACAGTTTATGCAAATCTGAATGTGTTGAAAAACACTAGGAAATTTTTTTATTGTTTCAGACAGAAATTAAGCACTTCTGAAAACTTTACTGAAAGTTGGAATAATTGTTCTAAGTAGAAGTTGTGATTAATTAGAACCAATGTTGCGTATTATTACTTTACAAGAGTACATAATGACAATCATTTTAATAGATATTTAAATAGAATTATTTGAATATGAGTGATACTCACATCTATGTTCAAATATATTAAAACATGGAATAAGAATGTTATGTACTACATGCAATTAGTTGTCTTATTATTCAAATCATGTGTTCATTTTTTAGTAACTATCTAAGCATTTTTATTATATTCTAGACTTCATAAAATTGCAACTAATTTTTTAAAATAAATTTCAAAAAAATGAGTGGATCTTTTGAAAGGTAGCGCAAATATTCTATGCAATGACATATTACTATATATTCGTAAATATTCTTCATCTAAATGATGAATCAATTCAAAATGTTTGAAAAAGAATTCAAAATAATACTAGTCGTTGAATGCAGAGCTCAACAAATAGAGTTGAACAGATTTTTATCGATTAGATATGAAATACATATATTTCATAAGGCCATTGATAAAAAGAAGCATAAGAAGTTACTCAAAGATATTTCTTATATATTAAATTCACAATAAGTTTTACGATGCACACTGCTGCATATTTCCTAACGATCGATTGCATAAATATATTTATCTAAGAAGATACGTACGTATGACAGTTCAATTCAAACTTTCCGTATCATAGTATTTTCTTTATTGACGAACGTTGCATCATTTATTATATCATAAAACAGATTGCCCAAAAAAAGTCACTGATATCTAACTGTTCTTTTTTCTTCTTTTAATGAACGAGAATGATGAAAGTGAGATGACTTTACTCTTAGGACTAATTTTTAAGAATGCTTTCTCATTCTTTGTTTTCGAAATTTCTGTGACTTTCATCAAAATCGTATGACTTAGCCGTGTAATCAGGACTTTGACCATGAAAAAGCTTAAACTGATTAGGGTCACCAAAAGAAAGAGAAAGAGACTCTGCTTCGTAGAGACTTGTGACGGGTTTTATTTAATGTGGTTTCGATCGGTCAGGAAGATGGAAGGCGTCCAACTTTTCCCGGCCCTGACTGGTTGGTTACGTCTCTATGATGACTTACCATTAATAATTTTTTTGACTACTTTTTTGAATAAATCAAACGTTTCACTGAACTAACATAGGATGCATTATTATACTCCGAGTTCTATATTATATGAAAGTTTATTTTAATAATTTATTTATTATAATGTGTATTTGTAGCATCAGAGGATCTAACTGCATATTCCGCAAAATTAGTCTCAAATAAATGTTAAAAAAAACTATTAAATTATTTGGCAACAAAACGAAGATTTTCTTTTCAATTTGCCAACTTTTACTTTTGCAGGCTTAGCAATGATGGTGGATGGTGAAGATTGTTTTTGTTGATTCAATAGAGATCGAAGATGAGACAACTCAACTAATGATAAAGTTTGACTTGTTCGTCGAAGAGAATCAGCTTGCAATAGAGATATAACTTTTTCCAGTTCAACATTTTCTATGATTTCGTTCATATACATCAAACTTCGACCATTAAAATTAGCAAATAAACGAGACATTTGCAATAAACCATGACTAATTAACCAATCATGCACATGTGTTTGATTCCAATTCAGTATATCTGTTGGTGGTTTCAACATTGATGGTGCCTCTGGTGATATAGGTGTAATAGGAATCGTAGTATCAACTTCCACTTTCGGATCAACGTTTACAAGACACATCTCACTGATGACTGAAATTTTCAGTTCTTTGATCAACATTTTCATCGCTTGTGAAAACTCATATTTGGTAAAATCTATATAAAGTAATTCACCAATCAGAAATAATAACCAACCATCAGGTCTATAGTGTTGTTGTAAAAGAATGGGAACGATTTTAACTCGACGTTTAAATGCATAATTTGCTTCCGCTCGACAATAACTACTTCTTCGATATTCTTCACTCATACAAATTATAACTGCATTGGATTGCTCAATAGCTTCTGCCATTGCATCCATAACATTACCATGCATTTGATCAAAATCAATCCATACACGATAACCACTATTAATAAGTTCATCATAAATTTGTTTACAAATGATTTCATCTTTATGTGAATAACTAATCATAATGTCAAAAGCTTTTTCATTACTTATTGTTGATGGTATATGATCTTCATGGCTTATTTCTAAGTTCCATAATATTCCATGTGCACTTTTTCGTATTTGATTATCATATTCTTTTGGAAGATGAGTTAATTTTGTCATCAATGTTGTGCTTGAATGGAGTTGTTGTTGAATATCATGATTGAATGAGAGTGCCCATAGAATATCATATACTATTGGATACTGATCACACATTTCAATCAAAAGTAATACTTTATTTGTATCAGCTATCTGCTGTTGAAAAGCATCGATTTTAGAAAAATTCGCCAAACCTAAAAAAGAATATTCACTAATGAAATTTTAGCATCTTTTACTAATAACTTACATTTCAATAAAAAACCTATTGGTACTTGTTGAAACTTCTTTGCTGGATTTTGCCATGCGTGTTCAAGCATATTGAAGAAAAAAGTACTTGCACTGTCAAAAATTTTCAATTCTTTCAAACTTTTATCACATAGAATTTCACCAAGTATTGCATATATAGATAAGCGTATTTTATCACAAAGTGATCTGGTAGCAAGCGTTAAAAGTGTATTTGGTAATGAAATCTTTGAACGAAGAAACCAAGTAAACTGTTCCTTTTGTGCTATATTTAATAAAGAAAATAAAGTTGTTTCTAGAAGAATTGTTTCATCGTTTGTTCGCTTTATCGTAATAGACTGATAAAGAGGTGTATAATCAATAATACGAATAAGTGCATCGATATATTCACAGGCTGCTGATTCAGTTGTAAAAACTATTTTTCCTCGTGATCCCTTTTCTCCGCCCCACCAACAACAAGTAGTGAAAAGGAACATAAGATGTGTAATACAACTTAGTAATTCTGTACTCCATAATTCTATAGTATAGGTATGAAGAAGAATTATTTGTGTAATATCAGCACCAAAATGCTGAATTAATTCTTCAGGAGTATAAGGAAAATCTTGAGTTTTTACAAATAAATATAAACTTAAAGATAGTGAACAAGTTTTTATATAGAATAACTGTTTAGCAGTAAATATGGATTGTGATAATGGTGATTGATGGAGTTGATTTAAATAGAATTTATATCGATCAGTCATAACATAATTACGTGCCATATAATGATTGATATAAATGATAATATTGGGTATTTCAAATTCACGATTTGCATCTAAGAATTCGGCAAGATTCTCATACCACAGACTAACTATGCTAATAAATGGATCATTTTCATCGTTTGTTTTTTCAATTTTTTCAAATATAACCTTGATATGGTCAATTGTCTCAGGAATAAGTAGTGAAGCTTTAGTTTTAGCTTCAATATCTTCATAGTTAAAAATCAAATTCCTATTAAATAATGCAAGTGTACGAAGTAGTTCTAAGCAGTTTGGTTCTTC